TGGTTTATCAGTCAACAAATAATATTTTTCTCTCACGTCAAACCAGCCAACAGTACTTTCAGTCAAGGCTTATAAGCCAAACAACCCAAACAAACAGGACGAATACCGTGGACAGGGCTGCTGTTGCACTATCTGTCTATCCTCAGTCATGATGACAGAGAGTTTTGATTTTGCGGCCTTTGTTTGTTGCCACTTGCCAACCATAAAAGGGGCTAACATGCTTCCAGCACAAAAAAAGGTCCCGTTCGGCTCGTTAAAACTTGGTTGAAAGTGGCTGAAAAATACTATTCTGGCTGAATTGTTGTGAGAAAAAAATACTGTTCTGGCTAAAAAAAAAAGTCGAACAAACCGAATTTAAGGTAAGCCGAACGAGCCTTAGAAGAAGAAAAAAAATGCTCAGATGGTACCTAAAAGGTACTGTAGCTTTGTTGTACGTCCTGTTCGCTCGGATCTCAAAACTAGGAAGAAGAAAGCGGTGTGCGGGGGTTCCAAGATTTATTAGTGCATGGTTTACGCCAAACCAAACCATGTGCGATTTGCTGCGGCTCAGAAAGTAACCACGGACTCCAGGCCATGTTTAGTTCCCGGATTTGGGAGTGGCCAAATAATTAATGCATACTGTAGCGTTTTGTTTGTATTTGTGAATTATTGTCCAAACATTGACTAATTAGGCTCAAAAGATTCGACTCGTAAAGTACAACCAAACTGTGTAATTAGTTTTTGATTTCGTCTACATTTAGTACTCCATGCATGTACCGCAAGTTTGATGTGATGGAGAATCTTCTTTTTGCATAGTGTATTTTTTAGAAGTTTGGTGGGAACTAAACATGGCCCCAGTCCTAAGCATTCGCGCCCACGTTGATGATGGCAGAGTGGTGGCGGCGTGGGACGGCACGGCCACGGTCGGCGACCGACCGTCCGTTCTGAGGCTGGCTGTTTACCGGCCCGGCCGGCCTCCCAGTTTAGGAGCCAAACTGATTGGGGGCGCACGGACAGCAGGTCGGCGACACGCCCGTGCGTCCCTCTCCCTCCCCCGCTAAGCTAGCCTGGCCCGCTCGTGCTCGTGGATAGGGCGGTAGCCGGCAGGCACGGCACGAGTGCTACGCACTCGAACCGCGCAGCCTAGAGCTCTCGAATCTTGGCTGAAAAATATTGTTCTAACTGAATTATTATGAGAGAAAAGCACTGTTTTCAGCTGAAAAAATAAGTCGAACAAGTCGAATATGAGATAAACGAACACCGTAATCCACTTCCACTTCCGACCCTGCCGGCTGCTGCCACGACGTCCACGTACGGGCGTCGGTGTTTCCGTGACTCACTCGGAGGCGCCTGTCAGCCCGTGAAGCGAAATCTTTACTGCTTCGGGCTAGGAATCTACCGAGCGTGGAACGCGTTACCGCTTACAGTACCACCGCGGTGGAGAGTGAAAACGCAGCGATTCCATCTCGGGCAACCTAGCACCTATAGCACGCTCGCGTTCTGTAGTCGAGTAGAGCTAAGAGTAGGGTCAGACACCCTGTTCGCTCGTTGTTTCACCCAGCTCAAACTAGTCAGTCAATAATATTTTTTTCTCACATCAAACTAACACCAACCAGCCCAAATCAACGAACAGACCGAGAGACGGACAGGACGAACTTGGCGAGAGCAGAAAGGTGCAGATGAAGAATCCAACGCAGGGAACCCACGAAGCGGTCCCTACCGAAACCCAATCCAATCAAGATATTTCGGCGCCACCAGCTCCAGCAGCAGCGGACAGCGACGACAAGCAGAGCGACGGAGTGGGTAGAGTTCCTTTCATCAAGGGTCGGGCTGGCAAAACGTCGGCGTCACGGGGTCGCACCGCACGTCCCTCCATCTGTTCCGGCCCCCGCTTCCACCGATCCATCCGCTTCTCCTCCCCGTCCCGATTCCCGAGTCCCGACTTCCCGAGCCGACGAGGCACCGTGACGGCGACGCCTGTTTTGTTTACGCGCGCCCGTGACGCCGACGGCGACCCTCCCCTGGCCCTTTGCCCCGTGCACGTACTGCCCGCCACCCACGCTCCCGATGCCTCCGTCCGTTTGGGGTTGCGTCCTCTCTAATCCTTGGCACCTGCCTGCTGTCATGAATTCATGATTGATTATTACGCTAGCAGTGGTACTACTACCAGTACCAGTACCGGGATCCGTTGCTCCGCCTCCGCGCGGTGGTCTAGCGTTGGGTACTTCGGTTGGCGCGGCCATGCATGTTCTTCGTCACCCGGGACCGGGACGACTCCACCCTACGCGCAACCGCGCAACAGCGATGGCTTCTCACTTCTCGGCCGGCCCGTGGTTTCTTCTGCCCCTCCGGTGTGCACGGCTGACTGACCGGTAACAAACCGAAAATCAAAAATAGATGGGTAATAATCGAGCGCTGGCCTGGCCTGTTGCGCAGCTCATAACAAACAATATTTCCAGTTTCTCAAAAACAAAATATATATTTCTATTATTTAAAAAAAATATTTCTCATAACAAACAACTCGCATTATAAAAAAATAAAGCAAAAGAGCAGACAGGGCCGTGTGGATAAGACCGACGGCACATGACTTCACCACTCCCGATCTCCACCCGCAGAGAGACGTCGCTTTAATTAGCGCTCATCACCCTCGCCTCCTTCGTCCTCCTCTGCCCTCCTCCACTCCCACCACCCTCAACTCCGTCTTCAGTTCACTGCGGCGCGGGGCTTCGCTTCGGATCGGCTCGAGCAGGTAAAGCAGCGGCCGAACCCACCCCACTTTGCTTAAGCCTAGGCTAAACGGACCGATGCCCCAACCGTGAACTGCCTGCTCTGCAAGCAGCAAGCCTAGAGGCGTCATGATAGGTGTTTCTGATGGAACTAGTGTTGCTTCGGTTTGGACCGGGTAAAGCTAGCCGTGCGTTCAGAGCGTTCTTTCTTCTTGCTCTAGATTTCTATACACGGACTGATCTGTTCCTCTTAAGCTGTAAAGGAATGCGAGCATCTCTGCTCTCTGCTCGCCCGTTTCGTACCAAAAGAAAGAAAAAAAGAGTTTTTGGGCAAGTAAAGGTAGCTCGACGTTTACTGTGGTCTCGCTTTGTGAGAAGAGTATTCTTTTCCCCCTTGGTTTCTGCACGATCTGCTATTCTGCTTTGTTCCTCTGCGAGCAACTCTGCTCACGGTTTATATATAGCAAAAAGAGAGTTTTTTAGGCAAAGAAAAGAAGAGAACACTGCACGCTAGCAACTGGGAGGAAAGACAATGAAAGAGCATGTTTTACTTCGTTTCTCTGGCTATTCAGTGCCTGATCTGTCCCATCTCTGCTACAGGTTCCCATCACCTGATCGATGCCTTCATTTGGTATCTTTATCGATGCACATAGATTGCTTATTCGTTTTTATCCCTTGCAGTAGATACAGATCGAGTTTGTGTCTAAAGCCTCTCATAGAGAGATGGAGTTTTACCTTCTTTCTTTTGTTTTTTGTTGGCTCTGTTTAGTTCTCGTCGCTTCGAGATTTCAGTTTTGTATCGGTGAGCCCTGCTGCATTAATTCTTTTTTAAACTTTTTTTTCTGTACAAGTTAAAAGGAAAAACTCTACTTAGCTCAGAATTTTTTCAGAGCCGGGCATGACACCTAGATTTTCATTTTATGATTCGATTGTTCGTTTGATTCTCGTATCTGCAATGATTTCATAAACCCGAATTAAATGTCATGGAGACAGTCGAGTGCATGGGTGGAGTTCAGTGTCCTGAGTGGAGACGCCATTATTCGGATTCTCTGTTTGGTGGCGATTCCTTATTGGTTTGATTGTGACATAAAACCGAATCCAATGTCATGGTGGGCTCAATTATCTGAAATCCATAATACAGGCCTGCCAAAAGGTGTCTACGCATACTACCTCTCTGCGCCCAAGCTGAATATATATAGTTTTTCTGAGTGGCACTGTGGTTGGCTGAATATATCGCTAACATATTCCTAATACTATTTCAGCACAGATGCTGATTTATAGATAGAATATTGTCATAGAAAGATGAAGTATTTGGTTCTGTTCTCTACTGAACTGGTGGTGTGTGTAAATGTTTTCTTCTTCCACTATTTATTGGTCAGAAAACAAAGTGATATGCTAGACATCCCTTTCATGGTGGCAGCAACTTGAAAAAACTAAATGCCTTTAGTATTGTGTTCCCAATAAGATCAGGATAGGATTTTCCACTATGATTAAGATAGGATTTGTTTGTTTATGCAGAACAGTACAATGACTGCATTATTGATGAAATGTTTTCAATTATCCAATCATTGTTGTTGCTTCCTTTCCAATTCTCTGTCTGAGTCTAGACCAGCTCATGGTTATGACCTAGCCCCTTTGCTTTTGTATGGCAACAACCTTATTTTAACAAAGCTCACCTCATTGTTGTTAAATTGAGATCAAGCTATAAGTATTTGCTCATTTCCCTGTCTCTGTTATTCTTTGTACCGGGCTCCCCCTACTTCTGATAAGGTGAATTACTTGTGCAAATTAATCAATGACCTTGACTTCCTGCTTGGTCCTTAACGATATATGTTGGTATAAACTTACATTAATATGTATGACATGCTAATATCTCTCCATTTCTGTTTCTTCTACTATGAAATGTTTAGGGTTGGATGTAGTTTTGAGGCTGATGTCTCCAAGTTCTAATATTCTTGGAAAGCAGTTTGTGGCATTGTCTTGTAGTTTTGAGGCTAATGTTGTTTGTCACGGATTCTATGCTGAACATCTGTTGTCTGAGATTTGGTTTAGTGCACTATTCATAATTTGGTTTAGTGCACTATTCATAAGTTGAGCATTTAAGGCAGCAAGCAAATTGATTTGATGCATAAAAATCATATTTGAAATAATTTATAGTTCAAAATGAAGTGATTGCTGCTTTTGATTTGTGATATGACACAGAAGAAAATGCAACGGGCAGTGCAAGCCGTCAGGTCACATGGCAATGTGCTTAAATATGCTGTTCTACAACACATCAGCGCTCCCAAACCAGCAATGCTTCCTGCTGTCTTTTCTCGTTTCATGTCAGTTTCATCTGCTCGCCTAGAGGATAGTGGATTTGAAACTGCCACTGTATCAGATGTCTTGAAGTCTAAAGGGAAGAGTGCTGATGGATCTTGGCTGTGGTGCACCACAGAGGATACTGTCTATGATGCTGTCAAATCGGTATGTGTTCACTTCCTGATGGTCATATTAACTCCTTTATAGTCAATGGTTATGCATCAAAGATAAACAACCTACCTTTTGGTACCTTAAACCTTTTGCAGATGACGCAGCACAACGTGGGAGCTTTGGTGGTTGTCAAACCTGGAGAGGATAAATCAATTGCTGGCATTGTCACTGAGAGAGGTAATGAACAAATTTCTGTACTCTTGGCATCTAACTCGTGACCTGTGGGTATGATGGGAAAATACAAAATCATGTACCACTACCTGCATTTTCAATTAACTGACACCCTCGACCAAAATTTTTCGGTTCATAAATACTTGATTTACTATTCTCAATGCATATATCTGAAGAGCGTCCCTTAAGTTTTACCTCATTGTGCTTTAGATGGTAGAGGTGCACTGTAGTCATATTCTGTGAAAATCATGACTGCCAAGTGTCAATAATCAGAAAACTTGAGGAGAAAATTATTGTGCTAAGATAGAGCTAGTCAGCTAGGGCTTGTAGCATGCTATTTGAAACAATGGGCGTGAGGTGTTTCACAATTCTTTCTCTCTGTCTACATGTTCAGAGGTGTTGCCTTTTCCTGTTCTTTTTATTGGAAAATAGCATTAGATGCAAAGCCTTATTACTGCCCCTTTATGGTGATATAAGAAACTAACACATTGGAAAGGAAAGTATTAAGAGTTCTACTGGTAGGTTGTGAATGTATAACTCCACTTTGTTTTTGCTTCTTACATTAAAAAAAAAAACTTTGTTTTTGCTTCAGCAGTGCATCAATAGTCCTTTTAGCATTCAAAGGGTCTTGACTCTTCAGAGCACTTTATAGTTGATACAACAGAAAATACAGCAAGTTAAAACATATATGTAGTAAGTAACATAGGATTTTATTCACATGGCACAACCATAGCCGCCATTTTACACTGAATTTCTTATTAGAGATGTATAAATAACTACCCTGAATTGTTGTATTCTTGTATCACAAGATGTACTCGGCTATATATATGAAATTCACCGCCCCACAGTGGGTGTGAGGGTGTTTCCTAATTCTCCTATCTCTCTACATTTCTGTCAGAAAGCCATGCATGGTGGTTAAGTTTCATGTGCAGAGAAATTTGAAGGGTAAAAACTAACAAGAAAGTGTAAACTTCAAGCCATCTATTTGCATGCCGAAAACTTCTGATCCTTGACCTCTATATACCTTTGGATATCAGTGTGAAGTTCTTTGCATATGATTTTCAAACTGAGCCAACTTCAGGCACACCACATGATGCTTTCTTTTTCATGTACACTATGCCTTACTAGTTACTGCACTGTTCACCACATTACATCTTGGACGTGAATGTAACCCAATGGTATCCATATACAGTCGATCAGCATACATAGATAGTGTTTTTGAGGATAGAACCAGTACTTGACAGATTTTACATTCTGAAAACGGAAATGGAAGCATGGCAATCTTTTAAGACATGCATAAGATCATAACCATGAGACTAACATCTGAAACCTCGTGTTTTCAGATTACCTCCGGAAAATCATAGTGCAGGGAAGATCTTCCAAGTCAACTAAGGTTGGCGACATCATGACTGAAGAGGTATTATCCCTTGTGATACACTAATCTTGTTTTTTATGGTTTGCATGATACCTAGAATCTGATTAGCACAAGACCTATACTTGGTGACCATTTGACTATATAAGTACTGAAAGGGTGTTTGGACACAACTTAACTGATGAACCATTATGATGCCAGAACAAACTGATCACAGTGAATCCCAACACCAAAGTCGTGCAAGCAATGCAGCTCATGACAGGTAACCAGCATGTGTTCTTCTGTCAGAAAATACTACTAGAATCGTGAGAGCACTGGAATTGATTACGATCCATTGCGTCGTGCAGACAACCGCATCAGACACATCCCGGTGATTGACGGCACAGGGATGCTGGGGATGGTCTCCATCGGTGACGTCGTGCGCGCAGTGGTGGCCGAGCACAGGGAGGAGCTGAACCGGCTCAATGACTACATCCAGGGAGGCTACTAGGACGACGTGTGCATCGACGCACCCCCAGTGAAGTCCGCCGTTGTGAAATCCAATAACTCGGAACAATGATGATGACGAAATAGGCTGTGTTTTCGTGGACAATGCTGTTAAGTTGGGCAAGGTTTTCCTTTCTTTTTCCCCCGCGTGTTCTATGTGTATATTGCCAAAGGCATGCGTGAGCAATGCGCCCGGTGCTGTGCTGGGGCGCAGAGACGATCTGGTGGTGGAAACACCGGAAATAAAAAAGCGTGCCGCCGTGTGCTTCCTTTGAAGGAATGAAGGGTGTTCATGTTGTGAATTGTTGTACGTTGTCTGCTGCTGTTGTTGGGCAGTCCGTAAATGCGTCTGAAATGGGTTTCTTCAGACTTTACGGAAAATTGGTCACGCACGCCGACGAAGACAGAAGGTACTCCCTCTAGCCAGTCCACGAAAACAAGCAATTCTAGCACAGTACCGACCATATTTTAGTATATTATGTTGGAATGTTGGACTAATTATAGATAAAAAAAATATAAACTCTCACCTTTGTTAGAGAGACGGGACTGGTTCTTCACCTCCAATGCCTAGACAGAAAAAATACCCAAACACAACAGTGAGGTCTATGACAATGAAAACATCAGATCGTTGGTCGTGTATCATTGAAATTAACACCAAAATCACAAAGGGTCATATCTTTAGATTTGAGAACCACTGGTTGGACAGAGATGATTTTACCACAAAAGTAGTATGGGGGTGGTCTGCACCGTACCTACCCAATGATCCAGCAAAAGCCTTAACGGCCAAATGCAAAAATCGGAGAAAAGTACTAAAAGATTGGAATGCAAGGACACCACCATTATTCAAGCTCATCGAAAATGCCAAACTGATCATGCAGTTTTTGAATTCGATAGAATGCTTCAGAGACCTCTCTTTGATTGAATGGAATTTTAGGAAAATTTTAAGTTCAAAGCTGGCCTCCTTACTCAGACAACAGAGAAGATAAGGGAAGTAAAAGGACAAAATTAATTGGGTGAAAGAGGGAGATGTAAGCACTAAATACTTCCATGCACATGCAACCATTAGACACAGAAAGAACACTATTGCCTGTCTACAAGATGATTCAGGAGATAACATAACAGATCATGATGGTAAAGCCAAAATTTTGTGGAAAAGCTTCAAAGACATATTAGGAAAGACTGAATTCAAGGAGATGTTCTATAATCTGAATGTCCTTATAACCAGAAATGAAGAACTGGATGAACTGCAAGCTCCTTTCAGCAAACAAGAAATTGACAGTGTCATAAGTGAACTACCAAACAACAAGTCACCAAGACTAGATGGTTATAATAATGAATTCATCAAAGGCTGTTGGCCTCTAATTGCTTCTGATTTCTACAGATTGTTTGAAACTTTTTTTGATGAAGACATTTGTCTTAGAAGTATTAACTCCTCACACATAACACTCATTCCCAAGAAAGATGGTCCTTCCATAGCTGCAGATTACAGACCAATCTCCCTTCTCAATACCTCCCTCAAGCTTATCACTAAAGTGTTAGCTAATAGACTGAAGAAGAAAATAAGGCAACTCATACACAAAAACCAATATGGTTTCATCAAGACCAGAACTATTTAAGATTGTCTAGCCTGGGCTTTGGAATATCTTCACTTATGCCACAAATCAAAGAAAGAATTGGTTATTCTAAAACTTGATTTTGAAAAGGCTTTTGATAAAATGAAACATGAAGTCATTATCCAAGTCCTTAGGGCCAAAGGTTTTGGAGAAAAGTGGACAAATTGGATCAAGAAAATTCTTAACACTAGAACTTCTTCTGTACTACTAAATGGAGTACCTGACAAGGTTTTACATTGTAGAAGGGTGTAGGCAGGGAGACCCACTCTCACCTTTACTCTTTGTGCTGGTAGCAGATGAAAGGTCCTTGTTTAGTTTTGATAATTGAGTAACAACCTAGGTGGACTAATTATGTTTATGTGAGATACGCAGGTGATTAGTCCACAGGTACATGTGTGTGAGCAACATATGCCATGAAGGCGGAAATGGCTTGGAGATGTTGCAAAGCTCACACATGTGATGATGAACGAGCTTATTGCACATGAGACATAACATTGAGTCATGTGATCAAGGTGGAGAAGATCAAGACAAGACTTGGTTTAATGGACCGGTTGCAAGCGTGAAGGTCAAGTCAGAGGCTTTGGAGCGATGGACCGCGTGGCGATGAAGCTTGAGCAAGGCTTGGCGTCGATGGACGAAGGCAACGATGAAAAGCAAGTGAAGTCAAGATCGATGAACCAATATGACCATGTGATGATATGAAGTGGATCATATCATTGTTGATCGTGTTGATGCATATGTTGCATCGACATTGGAGGAGATGGAATGGAATACGCAAGGCAAAGGTATAACCTAGAGCATTTTATTTCACCGGTCATAGGTGTGTAGAGAAGTTGATGACCGGGTTTAGGATAGATGGTCATACTATCAAGAGGGGCAAACTTGTTTGCATATCGGTTATCTAGTGCCACTTGAGTGATCTAACTTTGCATTGTCCCTAGGATCGAGTGGCGTGGCAAGTTGAGTGTCTAATCCTTTGGAAAATAATTGTGAAAATGCTAACACACATACACATAGTGGTGTACACTTGGTGGTGTTGGCACATTTACAAAGGAGAAGAAGTTGGAGTTGATGTGGATCAACTCGGTAAAGAAAAGGGTTCGAAACTTCACCGACGCTCTGTACAAAAAAGACAGGGTTTCACAGAGTGCACTGGACACTGGTGAAAGGTCCTAATGGCTAGGGTGGAGGTGAATAGCCTATTAAAAATTTCTACAACAACACTTAACAAATCGGTTAGACAATTATGAGGTGAAGCGAGTGTTGCGCTAGCCTACTAAAAATGCAAGCCACCTACCACAATTCTAGTTTATGTTGTTTCTATCCACACAATAACTATGTCACTACACTAAGTTAGTGTACTCTCAAAGACTAACTAAAGAGCCACACTAACCAAACTAACAAGCTCTCACAACTAGCTACACTAAAAAGCTTGACAACTAGTTTGCGGTAATGTAAAGAGAGTGAGCAAGATGGTTATACCGCCGTGTCGGTGTTTTGAACAAACACCAACTAGTAAATTTATAATTGTTGCGTTTTAGGCTCGGATGGTGTACTAAAGGACACAAGGTTTATACTGGTTCAGGCAGAATGTCTCTACGTCCAGTTTGCTGCTGCTCGTGTTATTAGTACCAAAAAAGGTTCGTAGTAGGGGGTACAAACGGTCGAGAGAGGGACAGGTCCCAAGTCTCTAATGGAAAGGTCGAAAGGATGCCAAGAGCTCGATTGCTGCTTGGTTGTGTGTTGTGGGAATCGATCCATCCCTTTAGTGGGGTGCCCTACCCTCCCTTTTATAGACCAAGGGGGGAGCAGGGGTTACAGATGGGAGAAAGAGAAAAAAACCAAAGGTCGAGAAGGTCCTTCGAGGGTGTCGGGTCTTCCTTTTCCCTTGAGCCTGCCCTGCTGACATGGCAGACCACGCCAGGGATAACATGTTTCGCTGATCCTAGTAGGGCCAGGCTCTGGCTTTGTTTCAGCGAGTGGTCTTGTCCCATCCTCCCCCGGTGGACGGTGCGGTGTGTCAGGGCATCGAGCCATGACTCTGCGGGGAGTAGATAGGGAAATGACTATACGCCTATTACTGTAGATGATGTGAGTTCTTCCTTGGATTGTAGTGGTTGTCGTATGCTTGTGTCAGGATCCATGCCTGAGGGCTGATGGCGGCGCCTACAATACTGTAGGACAAAAGTCGGCGCCTACAACACTATTCGGGCTTTGCCATGCCTAGAAGGGCTTAAAGCGCCCGTCTCGTCGTATCCTAATAGTACCTTCTCGCAGGTGCGTAGGGCGTGGTCCTCGGTACTGCGGTTTGACCTGAGTGTCCTATCTTTCCTCCTGCTCGTCATCATGAAGGAGCAGGGTGCAGTCGTCGGGCGAGGCGAAGCCTACCCTCAGCCGTCGAGCGAGGCGGAGCCTGCCCTCAGACATCGGGTGAGGCAGAGCCTGCCCACAGCCGTCGGGCGAGGTGGAGCCAGCCCTCAGCCGTCGGGCAAGGCGGAGTCTAGCCCTCGGGGGTCAGGCGAGGCGGAACCAATCTTCCATCATTCGGGCAAGAAGTGCAGTAGCGTTCTTGTCTGACCGGAAGCGTCAATGTTCGATGGTTATTAGTTCCACCTCATTGGGTACCCTAGTATTAGGTCCCCGATAGTAGCCCCCGAGTCCCCGGGTGATTCGGATAGAATCGCCCGAGGGGTATTTCAATTTGTCAGAGGGTGCATGCGAGCACACCCGTAGGGTGTAGCCCCCGAGCCCGCGGGTGATTCGGATAGAATTGCTCAGGGGGGTAATTTCGATTCGCCAGAGGGTGTGCGCGAGCGTACCCGATGGGTGTAGTCCCCGAGCCCCTGGGTGAATCGGATAGAATCGCCCGGGGGGTAATTTCAATTCGCCAGAGGGTGCGCACGAGCGCACCCGTCGGGTGTAGCCCTCGAGCCCCCGTGTGATTCGAATAGAATCGCCCGGGGGTAATTTCAGACCCTTCACGGGTATGGCTGTTAGATTTGGTTTTCGTCAACTAGACAGTTCAAAGGAAACCCTAGTACCCCGTTCATGGGGATTCGTCCAGGGTTATCCCGATTGGGACTCGATTTCGGATCGAGGCTCCCTTGAGGCTTGTGCGCCTGAGTTCTGGCCGCTCGTGGGCCCATCCCTCGCTGGGACAACCATCAAAACTATTGGGCCAGTCCTTGAACTCCTAGGCCTAGGTGGGCCAGAGAAAAGCTTTTTGACCCGTATCCCCTCTATGGGAAAAGAGTCCTGGTCTGCTTGGGAAGGCAAAACGTTGGCGCGATTTTGGTGGGAAAGGATAGGGATCGCGGGCGCATATCCCGCGACGTGACGTGGTGGTGCATCGTGGTGGGCTCGGAGACCTAGGTGGGTGGTTGCTCTTCTC